CCTCCCCCTCCCTCTCCCTGTCCCCCCTCTCGTCCTCCTCCTGCTCCTCTTCATCAAGATTTCAATCCTCCCGACTCGGGCGGGTTCCTATTCCTCGCAAGAGATGGCGCTGCCGGCGCCGGGATATACAATTTCAGTTCGACATCGTCCAACGTGCAAGTGAACAACCTTAGGCGTGCCTTGGAGAAGGGCGAGAAGTACACTGCCCAAGATCTGATCTATAGCGGCGCCTTGAGTCAGGATCCCGACTTCTTGGCGGTCTCGTCCCTTCTGAATGCATTCCTGATCGGGATAATTGGCGGGAACCGTCTGATTGGTACGGAGGTCCCGCCTCAGGCTGCTGCTCAGTCGTCACGCTTTTCCCGCCTACCGTCATCCCGCTCCCAACAGAGTCTGACAGCCCAGGAGACGACCTTGCCTTTTATTTTGGAAAGATTCCCGGTGTCCTCCGACCTCGATGGTGAGGACGCCGGCGCTATCAATGCGTCCTTGCGGTACGTGCTTCATAGCCGTGAGGAAGCCGGCTATGGTGGAGATGATGATGATGATGATGACGATGATGATGATGGCGGTGGCTTCGTCGTTCTGCACCGTCCCGAAGATGTTCTGGCGCACCGTGACCGTCTGATCGCTCTGATCGAGGAGCGAACTCGCCTCAGCAACAGAGTAGCGAGTCTGCTCCTTGATGACTACAGGGGGGAGCATCAGCGGTTGCTCAGTGAGTGGGGGCAGAACAGTCACCGGGTTCTGCAGAGAGTACGTGTCAGAGCAGAGAGCGCACAAGGAGGAGGAGGAGGAGGAGGAGGAGGAGGAGGAGAGGAAGCAAGGCGAGATGCTGGGGCTTCCTGTCTCGTCTGTCATGATGATTATGCCAACGACTTTGCTCCCTCACCGATGGGCTGTGACCATATCATCTGCTGGGATTGCCTGCGCAAGCACCTCTCTGCTCAGGTTTCCGTGAATGAGGTTGGGCATTGCGTCCAGCAGGGGTGCAATGAAGAATGGCCAAGGAGCGTGGTGAGGCAAGCTCTGGACGCTGCTACCTTTGATCGCTACCTGAGCATCCTGGCGAACAGATGTGTACAGCTCAGCGTGAACGTAGGTTTCCCTTTCTCCTCCTGTTTTCCCCTTTTTTCTTTCGTTTCTCCTGTTTTTTTTTTTTTTTTTTTTTTTTTCCTGTTCTACCGTTCATCTTGGGCAAAAGCAAGGATTCAAATCCCTTACCATAAAAAAAAATAATAATAAATAAAAAAATCCCTTACCGATCATTCCTATCCCCTTCTGGCGGGATTCGAAGTGGGGTATCCTCTCCGGGTTGAACTGTGAGGTCCCCGACCTCGTGCTAAATGTGTTTTGGATGTGTTCTCCCTTTAAAAAAAAAAAAAAAAATTTAAAAATATCGGGGTATCTATATTTATCTAGTTCGTGGGTATACCAAGTGAGTTATGGGGCGATGGTTATCTTCACTTTTCTTCGTCTCTTGTGTTGTCTTGTTTTCTTTATTTATGCGTGTCATCCATACACAAGGGCCATGCTAATCTTCGTACTCTGTATCGTTGCAATGTTAACTCATGTCCCGAAGGACTTTTCTTGTTCTCTCTGAGTCTGAAAAAGGAGAACTTTTTTGGGAAAAGTTATAAATCCCCCCCGGCGACAAAACCTTTGTATTCATTTGCCCCCCGGCTGCAAGACACTTTTCCCCCGTTTTCGGGGTTACCCGCCCAGGGAAGGTGCAAAAACGACACCAGATGGTTTTGTAGCCCGGGGGCGTGTCCCAGTCGCCGGGGTCTAGTTTACATTTCGTGTATTTTCCAACGTGGTCACAGTAGGGCCCTGATATTTTCGGGTCGGATGGAAGGGAGCCATGTATACTCGGAACCAGAACAAAACCTCGAGAGAAGTGGGACATTGGGGGGGGGAGGGGGAGAGTGGGGAGAGGGGAGATGGGTAAACAGGTGTAAATCGTTGGGGTTACAGACTATTGAGTCTAGATGGGTTAACTTCTTCATTCATCTACTACTAGGGGCTTTGGGGACCAAGACAGGGGGGTTACAATGGTTGCACCTTCACTTTTGTGTCCCAACAGGGATGTGGTGCTCAGAAAAGGGCATGGAAGTCGACACTTTGTGCAGAGCCTGCGTTAGAAGACTCTTTTTTTTTTTTTTTTTTAATACCAGGTCCGGTGCCCAAGGCTGATATTACCAATAATAACATTGACGCCGGGTCCTCACAGTCTGCCCGGAGTGATCGAACCGAAACTGCGTTTCGAAGACGCATTGCATCTATGGTGGGAATGTGTCATTGCAAGAGGTTTTGGGGACAAATTACAACAAATGTGGTCACAAGCATATGCGTTAGACGACGCGTTGCATCTATGGTGGGAATGTGTCATTGCAAGAGGTTTTGGGGACAAAATACAACAAATGTGGTCACAAGCATATGGAGGGTCTCTAATATCGCAGAAGGAATTTGTTTTCACGGGTAGAACAGAACAGGCTTGTGATAAACAGTCTCTCAAAATAGCACAGTTATTTCGGGTGAGATCCTTTTGGATGCTCTGCCTAGCTAAGAGAAACCGAATCTTTTCTCAGAAAGCCACCTCCCTGGGTTCTATCTTCGCAGAATACAAGCATGCTATCAGACTAGACATCATGTCAGAGTGGGTCAAAATCAAGAAGCAAACAGGCTCGACATAATCTCCCAAGATCCGCTTCCAATCCAAGTGGGCTTCTCTACATTCTTGGGCCTACTTCTATGACAGGGACAAGCTCAGGTACTCTTGTGGGACCACCCACTCACAGACCTAGGTATTATTTATTCAGCAGGCAGCCCATCAGGCTGAGAGGGTCTGTGGTCTCTTCTGATCTCCTGAAGGTACTGAGTAGCAGAACGCATAAGGTTATAACTTATCAGATAGCTATGTCATTGAATCTAAAAAGGGACGCCGGACCCGATTTTCTTCCTTCATATGCAGAGATGCTAGAATTACTGGAAGTATGTTTTTTGGAAAGGACGCTGGACCTGGTTTCCAGCCTGTTTTCTATCTCTTCTTCTGAGGACACTGGACCTGCTATCCAGTCTGATACCCAAGATAGAATGCTGGACCTGATTTCCAGCAATAGGGGTTGAATTTTTGAGGTCCCCGGCCTCTGTTCATGTGCGTGCCTGCAGCGGGTCGAGTTTCAACATCTCGGAAACAACGTTGCGAAGGATGTGCGGATTTCGACATCTATCAGGGTCCGGGTACTGGGCTGCCTCTACATCCGGTGTCTTCGTGTTTTTTTTTGGTTTTTTGTTTTTTTTTCCCTTTTCTAACAAAGAAACTTTGCTTATCCTGGGTCTTCTACGTACGGTGTGGCGAAGGTGGCCTTTGTGTAGAAACTGTGAATGTCAAAAATGGTCTGACAGTTGGCGAATATTTCATGGTTTCTACACTGGTGTAGCGAGGCCCTAAGAGAGTAGACACTGTCAGGAAGAGAGACCAAGCTCAAACCGAAGTTGTGAGAAAAACCCTGGGCGTCCCTTACATGTGCACAGGGAAAAGAATCACAAACAAAAGAAAGAAAACTTCAGTTCTACTCGATGAGGGGTGGGGGAAGATGAGAAAGGGAGGAGCAGCTAGCTCGGTCTTTGCGTTAGCTGGACCCCCACGGGCGGCCCCACCCCATCTCTGACTACCGCGGTTGGGGCGGGGGGCAACATGAATTACCTCGTTTGCGAGGCCCTATGCTTGCAGGGGTCCCCTCTATATAGTCTTAGGAGTAGTGGTAGGAAGGTAGTGAAAGGCGAAAAAGAATTTGAGAGAAGAACATAGTGTATAAAGAAAGATGACCCATTAGCTGCAGGGCCTCTGAGGTCCCACTAGCAAAAAGGATAGGATCCAGCTCCTGAATCTGGATGCGTTTTACCCAGAGATGCAGAAAAGCAGTCCAATCTCGATTTCCTGCACATCTACATAACCTCGTCCAGATTCAGGCATTCTATCCCAACCTCTTTGCTAGTGGGACCACGCCCCAGATACTACCAGTTATCCTGCAAAGGCAATGATTTAAATTTGGATTTTATTTAAAAACAAAGGGGTATCAAAAAAAGAGAAAATGAGAAAGCAAAAAGGAAAGCAGATGTTAGCTCCTGATGGTAAAGTCTCCCCTACTCACCACGGCCTTCATGTCAGAAGGTGTTTTTTTTGGTGGTGGCGAGCACTCACCCCACTCACAGTTTTCCCTTCCTGCAATGGCAGGGTTGTCGTGCCACCTCCACGGCCCCCACTAAAAGTTGTAACTCACAATCCCACCTGGCCCATCCTCGTCTTGTAGGGGTCGCCCGTGTGGTGAGTCATCAAATGTGTTGAGTGGTGGAGAGACTGTGGCACTTTGCTGAGAAAAGTTCCGTGGTGACTCTGGCGAGTGCTCAGCACAAGAAATTGAGTTTGGAGACTGGTGGAGCAAGGCCCTAATGGATGCCTGTAGCAAGGTCATTGTTTTCGTGTGATTGGTTAGGTACTGGAATTCCGATTACTTCTGATTGGTAAGGTGTTAGAAATCGAATTTTAGATGAACATCCTGATTAGTATTTCTGATTTAGTCATTATCTCCAATCAGTTGCTCATCATTCTCTTTAGCATTATGCCATTATCATCTTTTTTTTTCTTTTTTTTTCTTTTTTTTTTAAAGGAAGCAACTCCCTTCAGTGTTTTTTTTTTGTTTTTTTTTTTTTTTTAAACAGCCGTGAAGGGGCTTATGGAAAAGAAACAGACATCTATGCAATACTAAATTCAAAGAGCCCTTTTGTTTTTCGAGCCTTGGCTCACAGGAGAATTCAGAGCGAATAACCCACCTGCCTTGGTGCCTTTCAGCGGCCCGAATCCTACCTACCTCACCCCTATACCCCGATGCCCAATCTCTACCAAGCCTCACGCCCCCAACTCCTAGGTTACAGAGTGATACGACCCACCGCAGAAACGCCCCACCTGCTAGGCCACAGGGCAACACGACCCGCCCCGGCTCCGGCCAGTGTCAACTAGGCACCAGCTCACCAACAGACACTAGAGTGCCTTCCACCCTCGGCAACTCCCCAGATCTCTCTACCAGGTCTCATGCCCTCGTACAGGTCGAGTTACAGGGCAGCACGACCAAGCCCCAGCACCGACCAGCGTCATTCTGGCCTTGTCTATTCGCAACCCCCCAGGACTCATGACTACGGCAGATAACAGTCAAGCCACCAATCAGCGCCATAGCTGTAGCTCCGATCATCCATCCCCCAGGCACTAGTTGCAGACATCCCGCAAAAAACCTTCTCATCCCTACTCCGGCAAATCTTACCGCAATGGAGCCACCATCTCCACCGCTGCTATACCCTATTTCAACCGTGCAGGCTAGCCCCTTCGCCGCAGAGCTCATCCTCTCCCACCGTCACAGCCAGCATAACCCCCTGCCACTACCGGTAGCACCAAGCCTTAGAAGAATTTTCTTCTTTTTTAAGAAATTTATGGAAAAACCTGGCTTAGGCTAACCATGACAACTCTGCAATCTACACAAAAAAAACAACCCCAAACCTCGGATCAGGCACTGGTTGCAGATATCCCACTAAAATTCCTCTCCGCCCTACTCCGGCAAGTCTTGCCGCGATGAAGCCACCATCTCCACCGCTGCTATACCCTATTTCAACCCTTCAGGCTAGCCCCTTCGCCGTAGGGCGCGTCGTCTCCCACCATCACAACCACCGCAAACGCCTACTCCCATCCCCAAATCATTGAAGAATTTCCAATTAGAAAAAAGGATTCAGACAACTCAGATGAACATTCAACGCCCATTATTTCAACAGGAAGAGGGAAGGACGGGAAAAAAAAACTACCCTCTCTCCCCGTGGAAACTCCAGCACCTATTGAAGTCTTAGTTCCATATAGAGGGGTCATAAGAACCAAAGGGATTATTCCTCTCCTCAAAAGGACAACCCGCTGTCTGTTTACTGCCTCCGCAGGAAGGTGCCCCTCACCTCCCCGCTCCAGTTCAGAACAGCCCCCCAAAATACACTCCTGCTCCCTCGCACGCATATAGTACCCCCTAAAGTATGTCCCCGCAGAGCCGAAGATCCCCCGT